CCCACACTGGCGGGGACCTAAAACTAACATCCCCAAATGAGGTAACAGCACTTGAGTCAACAAACTGCCCCCGCCAGCTGGACGGGGCGAGGGGGACCGCGACCCCGCTCGGTGAGGGGGTCCCTCCGCCTGCTCCGGCGACCGTCCTGCTGTGCCCAGACCGGTGGGTGGCACACAGCAAATTCCCTCGGGCACCTGGGTGCAGGTCCTGGTGATCCCGCTGTTGCTTTTGCATCCCCTGGCGGAGCAGGACCTGGTCCTCTCCAGTATCCTCCGGTTTGCCTCTCGTTTGCCGGCTGGGGACACGATGGAGGAGCCACGCTGGCCCCTGGGAGGTGGCCACAGGGTTGTGTGGCTCAACCGGAGCTTGGGGGACACCAGCGACCTCTGACATGGTCATCTCTTGCTTCACGTGAGGCATTTTGGGGTTGGGATGAGGAACATCCATCCGTCCCAAGGCTGGACACTCCAAGCAGCCAACGAAAACGCAACTGAAGATACATTTGTGAGCCGGACCTTGGGAAAGTCATCCGATGTAATGCAAGGCTTCGAGCTGATGAGCCTCATTAGGAAACTCATTAAGACCCCACTGTGACCAAAGGGAGGAGAAGGGGCAAAAGGGAGGGTGGGGGAACATGGACCAAACTTCAGCGCTGGTTAGAAGCATCACCTGAAGAGGAAGGATCGTGGGAACCAACCAGCCCATAAAGGACCTTTGGTCCACGAAGTGGTACCAACCCTGTATTTGGCTCTTTTTTTTAAGATTTACAGATTGAGGTGGGTTTTTTATTATTTTTAAATTTACTGCAGCTGGAGAAACTGAGGTGCAGCAGGGTGCAATGCCTGCAATTCCAGCGTTTGGTCCCAACTGTTTTGCTCAGGTCTCTGCATCGCCGGTGCAGTCCCGTGAGCCCATCTCCTCATGGGGGTTGGTCGACATTGCCCCCTCCCCTGCTACCTGCGACCTGGGCACGTCCCCCACTGCTGAGCCCCCACATTGCCCTCGATGCTTCTGTCTGCAGCTGAGTTTTTAGCGCAATGCTACTGCAGATCTGGCTTGCTCTTGCGGACCAGGATTGGAGCTGTTTCTGGAACACTTCTCCTTATAGCACGCACTTTCCTGTTTTCCCACGGGTTGCAAAATGCAAAGGATTTTTTCACTTTGCTGTCAAGATTTGGCTAGAGACTTGTTTACTGGGCCTACAAAGCAGGGAAACCAGATAATGCCATTTCTCTGTTATCTGCTCGGCTTGGGAGGCATAAAATTTGTTGCAATTTTCAGGAATATGCCGAGTGGAAAGTTAATGGCAAGCAGGTGGGAGGCGTTTTGGCAGCCGAGGGGAGCGATGCTATGGGAGGATGCACCCTTGCAGTCTTTCTGCAGCTGTTTTGAGGCGTAATTGGCATTTTGTACTAACAATGCTTCGGCTCGTTATTATGCCCAGAGGAATCCAAGGGAAACAGGGCGGCAGACTCGCTGGCTCGCCAGCTCCAGCACGCTGTCGCCCAGCGGAGCGGGCAGAGAGGAGCAATGGATGAGGCCAAGCCGTGATGTCCGCCCACCCCCGAGCTCGCCGGTGCGTTGCCACGCACCGGCACTTCCCAGCCTTACCATCCCCGTTTCCAAAAAGACTCCCAGCACAGCTCCAGCGAAGCCATGGGGAGGACAGCTGCCTCGCACAGAACGTGACTGTGCCCAGAAGGAGGAGGGAAGCATTAAACACCGGCACGGTCGTAATCGCCCAGGTGCTTTAGGGTCCGAAATGAGATTTTGTCAATCATCTGGTGAAATATTCTTATATATTCAATATAAAATTTGATGGGAGGCTTTCCCAGCGTGGACATGGCTGCAAGGGCCGTGCAGACGTTGCACAAAGCAGAGTAGGGGATGCTCTTGGGAGAGGCTGTCTTGCCGTGGCATCTGGGCCACAGGCATCGTGGTAATAAGGTCCCTTCTTGGAAACATCCTCAGTGTTAAGGGCAGCACGGCTAAGAACATCATCATTTCTGCAGGTGTCTGGGAAGGAGCATTTACACCCAACAGCAGCTGAAGTAGGAAAGTAATGACCATGAGATGGCAGTAGCTGGGTGCTTCCCCTCCTCCAGGAGCACGGTGGGTGCTGTCGGGAGGTCCAAGCCCTCTCCAGGGCTGCCAGGCAGGGCCACCACTAAGCCATATGGAATTTCAAGAGCGGCTGTGGTCAGTAGGAGCGATTGTGCTCGTATTGTGCATGTATCTCAAGGGCTTTTATGAACACACTGTGGCTTCACTTTGCGTCTCACCACCATACAGTAAAGTCAAGAGTCAGTCCATTTTACAAATGGGACAGCAGAGGTTCATGAACCTGAGTAGCTATTTCTGATGCTGTGCAGCATAAGCTGTGACAAGTGCCGATTTCCCAATGCCTTGGCAATGCTGAGATCCAGAAACAGAGCATTATAATGCCAAAATCCGCCCCTGAGCCCCATTCGCAGCTCAGACAGATACAATCACTCCATCAAGACCTCACCAGCCATGTGGTGTTGTCTCTTCCTCTTTCATAAACTTAAAACTTCAGCCTATTTGAAAGTTATCAATATATTCTATCTTCCCTATTACATGAAACTCATAGTTCCCACAAGAATCATTTTGAAGGTGGGTATCAGAAAAGCCAGCAGACCATACCCACCCACCAGAAGAAGGTGTCTTAGCATATAGTCTTGGGTTGGGCTTGCCTTTCCCCAACCTTGGCACTACATTTTACTACTCGCTGGTCTTGTAGAGGGTCTGAAACAAATGACATAGAGGTTTTTGCTCTCACTTTAGGGTTCTATGAGAGCTGATGTAGCACTGACAAACAGTGAGGCCCAAACTCCAGGCTGCTGTGCTTCCCAGTTGCTTTGCAGTCAGATGCCACCCTACCGCAGCTGTTAGGTTACAAGATCTCACCAAGTACACAACTGTGGAGGAACTCCACATTTTTTGCTTTGGTTTTGGGATGAACTTCTAGCCTCTCTGCAAAGGCAAAAAGCTTTCCAGTTAGCCTTTGAAGAGGCAAAGGCAAAGTTTCACTCTCTAAAATTTCCCATTGCTCTTTTTCTGAGACCTGGATGGGCTCAGCTGATCTTTCTACTTGAAGAAGACCACATGGGCCTCTTCGCCTCCTGCCATATCCCCCACCGGGTGATACTGCTGAATGTGGGTTTTCATTTACCTTTTACACCCCAAAAGTGGTTGTATCTTATTTTGATGAAATTACTCTCATCTTTGTAGGCTCACATGCTCAGGGTACTACAGGTTAAAACAGATCTCCCACAGCAACACAGCTGCTAATCCTACACAGAAGTTGAAAAGGATGGTACTTACACAGGTTTTAGCTTCTTTCAGATATATGGTGGGCCAATTATTTTGCACCTGGTCTTTACAGATGACCTGGAAAGACAGAAGAAAAGCAACTCTCAAATTGTTGATGTAGGTTGGAAGAACAGTTGGTCACTGATACTACAGACTGCCTCAAGCCAGGAGATATCCCAAACAAAGCTCTGATCCATTTTATGGAAACAAAATAGGCCCAGGAGCCCTTCACTCAACCCTTTGTATGTGGAAAGGGTTTTCACAGACAACAGACGTTGTTGTCTGCAGGATGTTTGCTAACGCACTTCCCAAACCGGGCCTAGGATTTGCAGTATGGGTTAAAGCAAGAATTGGCTTGGGCAGTAGGAAGATCCATGCCAGTGGGTCATGAGGCAGTCCTGCCCTACAGAAGATGAGCATCTAGAAACAGAATCCCCTTCCCTCCTTCCCAACACTTTAGTTATCCTGGCTTGTGTTTTGAGACCCCCCTACGCTCCCAAACCATTTTCTGCTAATATCATCCATGGACGGTTGACGCTGAATTGTGGTCTTTGCCCTCTCGTCATGTCCAAGTCCACCCCAAGGCAGCTTCTGCTCTCCATAATGCTCCCCTCTCTCTTCCCAAATTTCACTTCTTCCCTATTCAGCACCCAGACCATAATCCCCTTCGCCTCCATCCTCCATGTCTCTTCACTGGAAAGCTACAGGAGAAAGGGGTTTAATCTAGAAATATTTTGCTGCCTCGTGTTTTCCTAAGGCGGATCTCTCTGACACAGACATGCACAGCAAGAATGGCTGCCGGCTTTACATGTACACGGGATGCCAGCTAAATATTAACAGACCCCACTATGACGTGCCCGCCTCCCCGTAGGAGTCATTACCTCATTTTGGAAAGAAGTGTTAGGGTGCTGGTGGCCAGGACTGCTGCTCGCCGTCTGGTCCCCCGGGGCTGGGGCTGATGGCTGTGCACCGGCAGGGCTCTGGTCAGCACTTGTTGGTTCGGTTGACAAAGATCCGGCATCATGGCTTCTCTGGTCTGGGCCCCCAGTATACAGCAAAAAACAAGCAGACAGACACTGATACAGTATAGAGGATACAGCTGACAGGTCTGCTTCTGAGCAGCTGAAAATAAGTTTTCAGCTCTAGCCCTGCCTTGAAGCTCACTGTGTCAAAGCTTGGAGAGGTTTTGGGTTTCTTCTTTCCGTTGTTTTTTTTTTGTTTTGTTTTGTTTTTTAAATTAGCTAGGATATGAAAAAAAGTATTATTGCAGATCGTATTTTCTGCTGCTGAAACCCATCAGACTGTTCTGGAGAGTTGAACCCAAAGGCTGTGATAACTGTACGTTGGTAGCTGGGTAATCACTGAAAAAAGGAATATTGCTGGATAAATGGGGTGGCTCTCATTTCACTTTATCTGGGGTGTCATCCATGGAGGTTTCTACAGCTCTGTCTGAGCTGGCTGCCCAGGATCTCCCATGAGTTCACTGTGCAATCCCACTGACAACTGCAGCCGCCTCCAGTAGGAGGGGATGAAATGCTGTAACCTCTGTTGACTGCATCTCCATCAGCTATGGAAGAAACCCAGAACATGCTTAGAAGAATGCCTGGTACTATGGGAGACAGCCTGGGGGGGTCCTGCCTGCACATGCCCCACATCTACCAGCTCCATGCAGGTGTCTCAGATACCCGAGATCATCTCAGATGCCTTTCTTAAGGTCTGTAACATCTTACAGTTTCTTGTGCAATGGGAGTAGTGCAAGGAGCATAGCAGCCTCCTGCCTCCCCAAAACCTTTTGAAGAAATGGATCTCCATCCCTGGGTTCCTAATTGATCCTTAAATGCTGACAAAGAGAATTAAAATGCCACATCCTGTTCACAGCCTGTTTGCTTTTGGGACTCCTGCCTCTTCCACAGAAAAGATGAGGGATATTTATATCCCAGACACATTCTGAAGGCTCCTGGAGAGAATTAATTTCAAAGCCATCTGTTTCTCTTGCATTCTCTCACCTATTTATTAAACATAAAGGTTTTTGAAACCTTTTCATGCTCAATGCTTGAGGTCTGCTTGAGGTCAAATTTGAAGTAACATAATTTCATATATCATCCTTTAATGGAGAACAGTCCTGTGGAGCAGGAGAGGAAAGAAACATCCTTCATGAAGACACCCATTTCACCTCCTAACACCTGCTAACATGCTCAAAACATGACTTGTTTGAAGCCAGTGAAGATGGTCTTGCATTGAGACCTTGGCCCATTCAGTGATGCTGACAGCAAGGAGGAGCTGGAAGGCCGCGGGGGAAGGAGATGTTTATTTGAGTGGCTTCTTTATTGTAGGTAGCTGGAAACTGGGTTAAGAACAACCTTCTCCAGAGGAGGATAATGAAGGGCTTCAGTGTCATCACAGCTTTTATTCAGAGCCAGATCTGAACTGACCCCACAATCCCACTCAAGTCTGGAAGGCCCCATGGAGCCCTCAGAGTCCCACAGTATGATTTCTTCCCCATAAACACTACCAGACAAAATGCCAAAGGGGACCCTAGACTGTGCCTCACCAGGATGCTTATGAACTAACATGGCTAGCTAAAGCTCCAGAGGTCTAGGGAAAACATGTTAACAGCATTCAGCAAGATCCACATGAACACTTATAATGCTGCTTAGACAGAAGTCAGCAGCCAAACCCCCTGCAGCTATGACGAATATCCTATCTAAGTGCTTAGACTCTTTAGAGGTTGTAGACTCAGAGTTTAGCCACAAAATCTCCTTAGTCATCTAAAGCTTATTTTCTATGTATGCCCAGACAGCCTTCACCAAGCTGTCAGCCATACTAGGGATCTTCTACAGCCAACATTCAGGGTGCTCTCAATCTGTTTCAGCAACTCTACAATGTCAGTCTCCACCTTCAAACTCATTGCTGCTGGCTCCCTTTTGCAGTCACTGAAGATCGAGTCATTGCAGCTGATGGTGCTTCCGGCACAGTTTGGTCCATCCGAAAGCCAATATCTACGCTTAGCCAGTTGATTCATGCCTTGAATTTCACCAACTGCATTGACTCGATCTCCACCGATGACAAACAAGGAACTAAACACCCAGTTGTCATGGAGACAACTATGCTGGAAAGTCCTAAAATGATATGAGGTGATGACACCTTGTACTGACAGGAGGTATTTAGGGTAGCCAAAGGAAAAGACCACAAAAGGGCCTCCCAACCAGAGAAATCAAGGTTTTTGTCTTCTGGTACCTGCTCCAAGAGTCGGCGTGGTGGCTGCCTCTGAGACTTTGTTGATGCTGCCAGGTGGTAAAGACAGAGACGCTTTACTGGTGGTGGAGACAGGTCCATCAAAAGGGGTAACAGAAGTGTCGATACTTCCGGGTCTGGTGGAAAAGGCCAGTCCCTGGACTGGAGAACTGGGAGAAGAGTGAGGCTGCTTGGCGACAGATGTGGGAGAAGAGACACCATAGTCTTTGAGCGCAGGGGGAAGGCCGCTCGTTGGGAGTCTGGTGATCTCAGCAGTGCTGGTCAACTGGTCTGAAGGCTGGTTTCCCTGAGCTTGCACACTGGGAGTGGATGCGACAGCAGTCCCTAAACCTCCTGGGATAGCTGGAGGGGTGCTTCCATGAGTGAAGACAGCACCTCTGGCAGTGGTGGCTGCTGAGCTTCCTGTGCTGGCTGGAGGGCTGGTCTTCTGCTGGGCCATGCTGGAGGTTGCAACAGAGGTAGCTGTTGAGGCTCCAGACCTGGTTGAAGAGCTGACCTGCTGAGATAGGTGGGGCGATGTCGTGGGGGCGAGTGGTGGGTTTCCCAGGTTGTTTGTGGGGGTGGTCCCTTGAACTGCAGCAGGTGACATTGCAGGGGTGGATGTTGGGTTTCCCGGGTTGCTTGTAGGGGTGGTCCCTTGAGCAGTGGTGGGTGATACCACAGGGGCGGATGGTGGGTTTTCTGGATTGCTTGTAGGGGTTGTCCCTTGAGCTGTGGCAGGTGACATCGTAGAGGTGGATGGTGGTTTTCTTGGATTGCTTGTAGGGGCGGTCCCTTGCGTCTTGCTGGTGTCTGTAGTCGTGATGACCTGCCCATTTTCTCCTAGGCTTGCAGAAGTTGTCTTTGTAACATCCTGAGAGCTGACACCTAGGGAAAAGTAAAAACACCAAGATGAACTTTAAACTAAGGAAACTACCCTTGGTTTCCACCCAGAACAGGTGTTTGTAGAAATAAACTCTGACCAGAAACGATGAGTCATTGACTCGGGGCTTGTCTCGTGCTCTCTAAACTCATACCAAATGCCACGTTCTGGTATCACTGTGTCAAGCAGAAAGCAGAGCAGAGGAGGAGGAGAAGTCAAACTCACAGGACACCAAATGGGTTGAAGGGGGAGCAGGAGGGCAAGACCTGCTGGTTTCCAGAAAGCAGGTCTCCTTCAGATGGGAGGTACGCCAGCTCCCGTGCATAGAGCTACAAGTGACATCATTACCTAAGTGGGAAAAAAGCTCCGTCTCAAAGTAAAAAGCGTTTTCCATTGCTCAGTTATCTCATATTATACATAAGGAGATCTGCAGTTGGCATCTGAAGAATACTTTAAATTTTCAGATTATGAAGCTGTTTCTCAGTGAGGGCTGCAGCTGAAGGACAGCTTGCCTGACAAAAGATTGCAACATGCCACAATTCTAAAACGTGTTCTATTCACGAATAGACTGGATATAAAAGTTTGGGTCCATTTTTCTGTTTGTAATCACTGCAGGAGCTCCATCGGTTGCCATAATTAATTTCCCCCCACTGCACATGGCAATGACCAGCTCTGGGCTCTTGCTCAAATTCACCCCAGGAAAGGTTCAACCAATTATTCACCTTTCAGGAACCACTGGCTGCACTGAGCCACTTCATCCACGGATCTGTCTGGAGTCAAGACAACAACCTGATTTTGGAGGAGGGGGTGGGACATATCTTCCATTTCATGACTGTGCAGAAATGGGCTATTTTTTTTGCCCCACAAGGCACTTGTATATTATTTCCAACCTTCCAAAACAGGAGTCACACATCCAAGGTTTCACTTTTAGCCATATCCTAACGCTGTTCTCCAGAGATTTGCTTTGTTCCTCCATGCTGGCGTTCTGGCAAAGTATTTTCTCTTACAGAGCCTGTTTATTAGTACTGGTTGTGCTTCAAAGATCTGATGAAAGCTTGAGCTTCAGGACCCCAGCAGGGTGTGGAGGTATGTTTGAGACAGGACCACAGGACCTGGGGAGCAGGATTTGGGATGAGGAGGCTGCAACACTACGACTGCGGGAAAAGAGTTTTTGCGGAGACAAGTCATATTTCCTACAGACTGACCAGTGTCTGCGGAGAAGAGGTCAGGAAGGAAAACACAGGCACGGGTACGTAGCAGATGAAACCCAGGTGCAAAAGATAGGAGGGAGTTTTCATCCAGTTAGTCACAAAATGGGTCTATCCCATAAATAGGGCTGTAAAAGTTTGACAGGGGTTTTGACAACAAGGGAGATAATAAAAAAAGAAATCCTCTGAAGGTAGAAACAACGCAAAAGAGACATAAATAAAGGGTTGGAAGGAAGGTGGAGGAAATCTCCCACTGCTCTCCCTTCCTTTTTATGCCCCAGACCCATCCCAGGAAGCAAACACGCACTGAAGGAGAGGTGGAAAAGACAATTCAGTTCAACTCGGTCCAAAAGAGAAAGGGGCAGGCCCACGCTTTGGCTCTGGACCAGCCCTGGTGGCCAGCTGGGACCCCGCAAGCCAAGGAGCCAGCATGCCTGCCCCGGCGCTTCCCTGTCTCATCCCAGGGAGCTGCAGCTGCATTTTTACCACTTCTAGCAAAAGCTGGGGGGGAAAAGCCCCAAGCAAGGTGTTTCTCTGCTGATGGAGAATGCTGGTGTGATCCTCCAGGCTTGCCCTGGCTGGATCCTACCTGGGGTGGTAGAAGGGCCTCTTTCAAGGGACACAGGGTGACAGAGCCCAAAAAAACAACTGGGAGAAGAACCAAGACTCAAGTTGATGCCCACAAAGCTTACTAACATTTTATCCTTCCTTACTTCTGCATCCACTCTTAGCGCTCCTGCTAAGGTCAACAGATGTTAAAAGATCAATTTATTCTTCCTCATTAAGCCAGGACCAGTGATTTAAGTGGGCTCAAAGGAACCTGAGGAGCACACTCCTGCTTGGAAGTGGTGAGCCACCATGTAGGGGAATGGATGGATGGATGGATGGATGGATGGATGGATGGATGGATGGATGGATGGATTCAATGGATGCTGACCACACGGGCAGGTAGGACATTGTCCATCCTACTACATGGGCCTGGCGGAGGTCAGGAAATGCTAAGTGCCACAGAGGTAGAAATCACTCTCCTTTGGTGGGTAATGACCTGCATCCCTTTGGCAAGTGGCAACACAAATGATATATAAGCCAGAAAACACTTCACCACGGCATTTCCTCCCTGCAAACCCGCTCCTGCTGTATTGGGCTGGATGGGACCACTGGGAAGCCCTTTGTAAAAGATCTCCCATCCCAAACGTGGTCTAAAGGTGGTGCTTCTTTTATAACCTCCACCCCAGCTCAACTGGGCTGCTACTAAATTTTTCCTTTCCTCCTTTCTTCTTCCATAGCTTGCTTGTCTCAAAGCAGACAGTTTTGAAGAATTTGTTGTTGCTGGCTGAAATGCAATGGCTGTGGCGACCAGCAGCCACGGAGGTGGCCACAGGAAGAGAAAATCCAGGCAGGTTGCAAACTTGACACTCTTCAAAACAACGTGCACCGCTGTGGGCTGGACATGCAGCACGCCAGTGGAGAGCAGCCGTGGCAACCGCTGGCTGAGACGCTCCTTCCATGGAGGATCTGTGGACCCCTGTCCATCCCCACGCCTGTCCCACAGATTTTTGGGTACCCATCTGTCAGCAAAATTTACCGTCTCTCTCCAGTTCATTAAATTAACCTGTTTTCCCACCGCTGTTGCACAAGGAGCCAGATGCCGCAGCAGTCACTGGGCTGCGCACCTTTCTGCAGCTTTACTGCTCTGGGCTCAGCATTGGTTCTTTGTCCAGGGACTCCGTCTCACTGCAGCATTAGGAAAAAAATGTATTTTATTTAGACTGGGGAAAAATAAATTGCATTTTTTGCGTGTCTTGCAGGCTCACCACCCGCAGAAGACTTGGCTTATGCAAACTCACTGCTCTCATTTTCAGAAGCCTACCAAATACTTCATTACCAAGCAGAAACAAATTCAGAACAAGCAGCGAGAGCACCGGCAAGCCCAGGAGTCACCGTTTTCCTTCCACATGTGCTATACCTCTTTCAAACGCCAGAGAACTATTTTTTTTTTTTTTCTCTTCCTCCCTAACTAGCCACCCGTGCCAAATCTCAGCGGCGAACCCGGGGGTAATAACTGGTAATGAGCCCCTGTTTGCCTGGGCTGGTAGCCAGCATTGCCTGATGACTGTCCTCAGCAGAAGAAACAAAAAGGATCTGGTCGAAGGAGGAAAAAACCCGTCACCACAGACTGGCGGTAATGACAGACAGACAGGACAGGACTATGTTCAGTGCCCCTTCAGCATGAAAAATTACTCACAAAAGATACTGTACATCCTTTTGCAGGACCCAAATGACCCTTTCACGCCGTGAGCCCTGGAGATAAAAGGATTTAACGCGTGCTATGGGAGAGAAGGAGGGTGGAGGAGAGGTCCTCTGAGCTATCACTCACCTCACTGGGAGAAGATCCTTTCCAAAAGAAAGTCCACTTGAATTTCAGCCAGAGTCCCTCAGCCTGCTTTCCAGAAGGCAGAAAAAACTACCTGCCTCTGACCTTCCTGGCTGCATTTTGGCAGGGCAAGGCCACTTATCTGATTTCACTTTTTGGACCATCATCAATTCCTCATTTTAAGGAAAATGAGAGTAATATAGCAGCTACCAGTGTGTTTGGACAGCACTGGTTGCAGTGAGCCTAATGCTTTGGTCTGCACCTCTCCTCTCACACATATCACTCAGAAAACCCCAAATCCTTGCGGTCCTGTGCTGGCCGTGGGGTAGACCCGCGGGAGGAGAGCGCAAGCCCTCCATGCACGTGCGCACGGCAGCCCGACAGCCCGGAGGAAACGAGTCCGCTGCAAAAACATGATTTCATTTCCGATCTGTGTATCCTATGACAGTGCCTGCAGTACGGTGTCTCCGCGATGGGGACAACCCCGGAGGGGAGAGAACTTTCCCTTGTTGCTAGCTATCAAGGTGGGCTTGTTCGGTGAGCGATATTTGGGAGGCTGGAAGTGCCACTGTTGGTCCCCGCTGCTGTGGGCACTCCTGGACAGGGCTGGTGTGGGAGTGCTCTGGTCAGGAGCTGCTGGGGTGTGAGAAGTCACCCAAAATGTACAGGAAAGATGTGCTGGTTTGTGTCAACGCAGCTCCTTGTCAAGGGCCACAATTTTCAGCTGCTGTGCACCACCAGCAACCACGCCATGAAGCGATGCTCCGGTTGTAACCTCATTGCAGTAGATGCGTGGTATTTTGCGGGCTGGGGAGGATGCTTGGGGGAAGTAGCTTGTTTGGGAAGGTCACGGCTCGGAGCACAAAAAGAGATGCAAACCAGCACACAACGCAAAGCGAAAGGACATGTCCTGTCCCTCCTCCATCAGCCCACCCGAAGCCACCACCTCCCCGCGCAGCTCCTCTGATTAATTCCCTGCCCAACAGCTTCCCGCTTCCGATTTTGGTAACGCCTCCCCATCCGCCTAGTTGAAAAAGCTCAGATTGGTTGAATATCTATTAATAGTGAGAAGAGGAAACCCAAAAGAATAACTGAGGAAATGGTGGGTGACACACCCCACGCCGGCAGGCTGAGCCCGGCTTGGAGCCTTACGCCAGCCGGCTCCTGCTCCTCCCAAGGCGGGATGAGAAAACCTAAGGAGTCCAAGGAACTCAGGGAAGGGGAAGGGATGTGAGCCAGGCCTGAGGAAGTTCCTATTTGCCTTTTTTGCAGCCTTTCCTGAT